AAAAATCGCTACTTAAATGTACGTGCCACTGTATATGTTCAAAAAAATTTGCACTTTGAAAATTTTAAATGTTAGCTGAATCCCTAGACACATGAATACAGACTGCAAACAGAGTTTACTAGCCACACCAGTACAGATATCATAAACTTCATATACCTCGCCAAAGTCTTCTATGGTTTATTTAGTGTGAAAAACGCTGTTACAAACACGACAATGGCCGTAGTAAAATAGTGTCGAGTCATGCAAAAGATAGGATTTTAACGTCGTGCAGAACCAATTGAAGGATGGAAGGATCCATTTTTTGGAAATGCTTCAAATGATGCAAGTGGGGACTGCGTATTTTTGAAGACAGCAGTAAACCTAAATCATTTTCTTAAAAGCTAAATATCCAGTCTCCCTTGCTGACATTATACATTCCTGAAACGCACAAATCATTTGACCATTCCTAGGATGATATTTTCTTAGACATGATGGATCACTAACTCATTTGATAAGCCAGATGCTCTATATTGTGGGTGTAATTAAATTGTCATCCTTATAACTTTCCATAGCTACGGTGAATTACCAGATGCATTTGTTAAGGATAATCAATTAACATCAGTCTACTGTCCAATTTAACACAATGCACCGACGTACACGTCTCAAAAATATAGTTAACCATGTCAATGTTAGGGAATAATAGCCGAATTCGGCAATACCAAGGCCGACATTAACTGGACGGATAAAATATCTGCTAGCCCGACTACATAGTTTCACATTTGACCAAAGCAAACCGCAAAATAAACATCCGCTACTGTTTCATTAGAGGGAAACGGTGAGCGAGTTTGGAAGCAGCTATAGTTCTAACCAGTCGTCTAGTCCATAACTCGTGTTAGTCAACCTAATTTACAATTCAATAAGAGGATCAATGCGTCTCTACTTTCCATGCTTCGTTTCTTCAATGCTATGGATTAGTTCTGCGATATACATCAAGACACTAGAGCATTTAGACTACTGTCAAGACAAATACTGTTAACATAATATTCAAGTCGCATACACCTGTGCTATCTGCCCAAAGGATCAAAAGAATTAGGCACAGGTTTTAAGTAAGGATATACGTCTGCTCTTGCACACATGAAATGAGGACATTATGAGAAATATTCTAAAAGAAGACAATCACCAATTTTGGATATCATGACAATTTTTACCAATTGCTCAGTGCTTGGCTAGTGTATAAATGAATTTCTACACCAATTATAGCTGCCTATTTTAGAGGTTTCAGGTAAACTTCTGGCCTACTTTTAAGCCAGACGATGTGAATTCAGGCATTTGGATTTAAGAATCAAAGCGTATTATCGTAGTCTTGAGCAACATCATGCTCATTTCAGTTGTTTAGGGCCAGCTTTCACTAAATGAATTCGTAAATATAAGCCTGATGTAAATGTTTATACATTTACATCTGTTCAATGGAAGTGATTGAGTGATCTTAAGGCAACTGCTCTGCGTACTAGGTCCTACTTACCCATTCTTTTCTCTTTTTTGATGGAAAAACGACGCTCATGCATTATATTTTTGCATAACAGCAGAGGAGGAGTGACTTTCTGGGAATTTGCTACAACTAGATCCGTACTCACGTGGCTGTTTCCCATATTTGTTCTCTATGTAGAAAGGAGCATTTACTGTTATCATAGCCCATAGCTAAGTTAGATTTATGCATTGACCAATTAATAGCGCCATTTATGAATCAGTTTGGCAGTCACGCAGTCATTTCACCTTAAGGCAATATCACCCACTTGATAAAATTATTGCCTTCTCGAGCGAATCAACATCACAGGTGTTGCGGGCACAGCTTCACCAATAAATCTGGCAATTCGAAAAAAATGCAAGTGACTTTGCAAGCACAGCATGTTTGTACAATTTGTAACGATTAGGAACTGAGAGAATGAGGGCTTGGGGTAAGATATAGTCAAAATGCAAAGGGTTAGGCGACGAGAATGATGTCACGGCTAGAAAAATATGTAAAAATTTGGTGTCACACTTCCTTCTTCTTAACTAATGGATTATTTTTGAATATTGCAAAAAAATGCTTGGCCGCTTTTTTTCTTCTACCTTCGGTTCAAGACTGCTTAATGGAGTAGATTGGCTACTATTCAACGAACCTCATAAATTGCACCAACGTGTGACCGGAACGAATGAACAAGTTCTCAAACTAATCCAAAATTTGTCTTCCTCTCCACATTTCACTACCCTTTCCCGTGAGTAGCAGCTATGAATGGTTATTTTGCGCACAGTTGCTTATGCTTTCCCTCGCATCAGGGCCAGTTGTGCTGTTGGTACCACATATCTTGCGCGTTATTTATAATTCAACTCAAGTATGTAGGGAATTTATTCCTATTCACGGAAAGATCTCATCAACAAGTTTAAAGAATAGCAAATTTTTGTGAAGGAAATTGCAATAAGTTTGTTTTATGTAGTCTTTAAGCTTTATCAAGTTACGTGATTGAAATAGGTGTTGGAATTAAAATTCTGAGTGTATGTTTGAATTTTAATGACTTGAATAGCTTATATTCCCATACGCTGCATAAAGAATAGTGTCAAATTGATTGGAATAAAGGCTGACAAAGATTGTTTGGCTATTGTGATTGATTAAAAGTAATAACAACATTGTGTATTGGTCACATTTTGTCGAGACATCGCTAGTTTAGACTTTCATCTGATGATCTCCAATCACATGCTACAATAATTGAATCTTCAAGAAATTTAGTATGAATGTTTTGATTTTGACAAAACTTTTGCTTTTGTTGACTTAAGAAACCTTCTCAGAGCCGCAGAAATCAAAAGAACTACGCAGGTGTAAAAGAATTCGAAGTGACATTTCTGGATTAGATTTCGTTTGCGCGATTACAACTCGTGACCACTTAAGAGACCGCGAATCGCGTGGTGCGACAGGATAGCTAAATCATCTGCATGCAGTCAGCTTCACTTTGTTATCATTGCACAATTTACAGGCATCTCCAGCTTCAAGGCTCGTTCTACCACTTATGACATATATGTTATGGTCACTTCGGAAGGATTCTGTGCTTCTCGCATCTGTTATACAACTATTTCTCTCTAAATAACACTTTTTCTCCAATGGCATTGTACAATATTATCGGTCAAGCAGTTTTAATGCAAAGAAAGACTGAAGTCCTGCATTATCGGTTGGGATGTTCACTCAGCTCCCCGCATCCAGTCTACAGTTACGACCAGGCCATTGTTCCACGCTTCTTAGCCAAAGGTAGAAATTTCAATCTTGTAATTTGGTGTAATGCTCACCACAGCTATTTTTAGGTCAGACTCTGTGCCTTTTATTACATTAACTTAAATGAATAAAGAAAAGCATAACTGGTGTATTGGTGGCATTTAAGAGCACAAAAAATGACCCAGTTGAAAGCCCATGAAACTCACGGCAGAAGAACGAATAAAAATATGCAAGAATACCGCCTATACACTTGCACTGAGTGATTTCGTCCGTATAAAAAGTTACGCAAATCTTTAAATCAAGAAAGGAGGGGACAATTGACCTAGCACGGTATTATGAGCAAATGATGTAAAGGTGTACTCGAGTGTTGTAAGGAATATAAGGTGATGCGCTGACAGCATTAACAGAACATTCCACAAGACCCAGATTCACTTTTGCGCCATAGACAGCGAATTTGCGTTCAACATGTGATTGTTCACGAAGAAACCGTGAAAGTGGAAACGACGCCCCTAAGTCTAATCGAATGCATGTAAAATATTCGCTGACTACATTCCCTTGTTCAACTTTCCATCAGCATGCAAGTCAGTGAAGCGCCCTAGCAGGATGAGGCATACTTTGTCATACATAAAACATGACATTCCAAAAGAACGGCGTATAAGATGTAAACTTAAATCTCCACGTTGCGCAAAGAAAACCTTTAATATCATGATCAAAAAATATGCTGTATTCAAACGCTTAATGCGTACAGTTCTTCCACGAAGACGAAAATGCAGTGGCGGAGATGGTCCTACTGGTGTGTCAAAAATCCGCGACCTCCAGAGCAGTAGGTTTGCTTCTGTTTTGCAGACATAAACACACATTTTATGTTCATGTAACATGTTAATGCAAAAGCTTTTTGCCATTTGTAAGAGTGAACGCAGTGATCCTGCTGCGTATGCATACGTCCATTACAAATCACGAACCCTTTTTGCCTTAAAATGGACTCATGCGAATGAATTGTCAGAAGAAATGCATAAAATGCCACTATAACACCTGAGACAGGCGCTGC